CGAGTTTCATTTACTGTCTTCCCTGCAGACGTAAAAGGACTTTTTTCCTGAGCTAAAATAAACTGACAAAATGGCCTGCCGTAAATATAAAGGACATTTAAAACTATTCATTTAAACTTATGCAGTAAAAGGGAGATGAATCCATTTAATCTTTGAGCAATTAAAAATGAATGTTAAATTAATTAGGAACATTTCTCAAACGAATTACTGTGAAATTGAAATAATGGTCTGTATTAAAGTATTCCTTTTTAAATTTATGTCTGATTACTTAATATTAATATATTTTTAATAGACTGCATCCTTATAAAAAAAAAAAAAAAAGCAAGCTCCATCATTTCTGGAAGAATGGAGACATTATGTTAACATTGCTTTTATATTACTATTTTTTAAAATGTAACTGACTTGATTATCCATATGAAGCAGATCTGGTACAGTACTTCCAACAGTTCCTATGCATGATATCTCTCAAGAAGAGTATTTTTAGCTTGTACAGGAGAATAAAATAAAGACTAGCTGAATTTAGGTCTATAATCACAATTTGTTTCCCAACTTAGTATTTACCCAAGTTTCTAAATTCCAATATAGGAAAGTCTTTTAGTATTTTAAGTGCTCAGCTGAGTAGGAATGAGTTTGCATACAGCTGTCTGCTTACAATCACGTTGCTACTGGCTTCACTGTTATGTATTTGAACAAGGAATGCTTTTTTTTTTTTTTTTTACAAAAGGCTCATCTTTTTGTTTGACTTGAGTTGGATTATTTGAATTTCTTGACTTCAGCTGGATCTGAAAGGTTGTTGTTGTCTCAGTGGCAGTTCTGTTGACTCTGGGCAAGCGAAAGTTTATATTGAAAGAATCTGGGTTATATATCTTGTCTTTTCCATTATACAAAATATATGCATAACATCAATTTCCCTTGCATTTAATAGCATTGCTTTTATGTACTTTGCACAAGACTGCAAAATGAAGACAAATTACTTGAATCTCCCACATGACTTTTGCCCAGCTTCCAGCTGCACAGTATCTACTTATTGGTGCAGCACATTATGCATTAGTTGCCCTTGTTTCAGTCCCTTCTGAGGTCTGCGTGTGTAACAGGAGGTGGCAATGACTACATAAATTCCACAGGGGTGTAAACTACAAAGAAATCTATGAAATCGGCAGGTGATTTCAAAGCATCTAATATTGTGAATGTCTTGGTATCCTTTCAGTTCAACTTATAAGAAAATAATACATTAGCTCACATAGATCTCTCACCTCAACCCTTTGTTAAGTAAATGCAAGATAAAAGTAGCATGACTGGTAACGTAATAATTGGGAACTACTGTATGTGTTTCAGAAAATGAGGAATACATTCGCTTAATATATCGTGACCTTTAAAAAGAGCAAAATGCTGCTGGAAGCAGCACTGATGGTCTGCTGAAGCTTTTATTCAACTGTTATTTTAATTTATGGAAAATTGTTTTGTCGCCCAAAGATCACTTCATCCAGTGTGTGTCTGTTTGAGTGGCCCATGGCACGTGTTCAGGGAAAGAATCTTGGCAAGGTCATGTGAAGAGTGATTGGCTGTTCCAGTTTCTGGCATTTAATGACCTCAGTACTGTCATGACTCATAGAGGTGGACAGATCTCTCCAGTATCTGATTCATTTTGTACCTACTAGCATTTCTCCCTTCCCTGACAAAGACTTACATGATCTTCGTAGGATTGTATGAAAAGGTAGTTAATTTTACTTTTGCTTACAGTAATTACATTGGGTGTCTCATAGCTCATATAGTTGAGAAACAGTGAATAATGATTTTTTCTTGACCTTCTGTCCGCTACCTTAATTTTATTGACCTTTGTGATATTATTCATTGTTTTCCTTCATGCTGCTGAGTACCAGTTTAGGTAGTTGCTCTTACAATAGCAGTTGTTCCCTACCTGTGGTCGTCCATATTGGTGTTTTCTATCTTCTGTTATACTTGCTCCAGTCCTGTATGTTAAGAAGACTAGAAAGCAGCAGTACTGGCTTCTTATCTCTTACTGCAGTGCCAAAAGGGAGGGATTTTTCAAAGGTTTCCTCATTGGAATTTGGTCAGTTTTGTTCAAGCAAACTGGCTTCAAGTGGAGTTTTTCATTTTTCCAAAACAACTTGTGAATTTAGATCAATACTACTGAATGGTTTCAGTTGGCAGAGAAAGTCTTTCCTAGGCTAAACCAAACCCAGTTTTTTTTGAAGTGTTTGTTTTGCCTTTGTTTATGAAACAAACTGGGGTGAAAAGAAGGAACCACCACACTGATACACTGATGAAGAGTTATCTAGTATTGAGAACAAATTGATTTATGAATTTGAATTATTTTGGCCTAAGGCCTCAGATTTGCCAGCGTTTGGGGACAGAATTGCGAAAATGTTCTTTTAATACAGTGGGCCCTAATTTTCTGTTTTAAAGGAAAATAATGCTTTCCGTGAAAGCTGGCAACAAAAAACAGAGGGAGTCGACTTCCAGATCTTGTTGGTACTTGGAGAGGACATTCTGACCTGAACTGATCTGAATTTACTTTAAGAAAAGTTGTTTTTCAACCTCAGTCCGAATGAAGGTGATACCTGGCTATGGGCTGTTTTTGGGTAGTGAAACCCCATAGCCATCAAAAACATCGTAAGACATTCTGTCAGTGTAGTTGTTGTATTTGTTTGAACCAACGCTAATTCATTCTAAGATCATCTCTGCTTGTCAAAGCTAAGATGGCCATAACAGCTGCAGGTAGGATGCTGCTGAGGGTGTGAATGGTACATGCAGTACCAAGACACCTTCGCATCTGTTGGCAACATAGCAATTTATGGAAGTCTTGAGTTTATCAGGGTAACACTTGTGTTTTCCTGCATTATATATATATATATAACATGATGGTACTGCAGGAACAGCATTCTGATGGTCGGCAGTTCTTTCTCCTAGGAGAATTCTCAACTGAGGTTAATCCAATCCATTAAGTTTACATTCTGTTCTTTGCCTTTATTTTTTTTTTAAACCCAGTTCCTGTATTAATATTAAACAATTTAAGGATTTTTCTTTAAAGATACGATCCTATTGGATTCTGCTAATCCCATATTGAGGCACAAAATGCAGTTCAGTAAATACTTGTAGGAAAGTAGCATGAGACAGTTACATTTGATATCTGTGATTACGTGCAATGTGCTCTTACAAATATAATCCTTTAAACACAGAGTCTTTAATGTTGAACAGCTGTAGTAAAAACAGTTTGCAGTTCTGAAATTAGATTTTCTAGAACATAACCACATAAAGGCTTATTTTAAAATCATCCTTCCCCTAAACAGAGGGGGGGAAGAAACAACACAGTTTTTCCTTCTTCTCTTTTTTAAAGCAAACAATAAGTCACAAAGAGCTTAATTTAGCAGCAGTATATGTGAGACATGGGCCATGGGCTCTATTTCCATAATTTCTAGACAGCATCAGCCGTGTAATGTAGCAGAGGAACCCAAGGACTGTTTGAAGGAATGCTATTAAAATATGCAAAGATGACTCAACATGATGCCAGTCAATGCTTACCCTTCTGTAATTTCGGAATTATTCTGTGCTTGTTTTGAAGATGGTTTTCAGAAATGCAGCAGTTAGTTGCAAAACTGTGTTCTTTACCAAAACTTCTTGAAGAGCTTCTGAATGTAAAAGTTCTCTATATCTTTAATGTGCTCTTTAAAAACCAATCACAACTGTGATGTCTCAGAAGTAATTATTTGCCATTTTTTTGCTCACAGTTATGCTTTTGGTTATGACTTCCAGATGTACTGATTCATAAGAGGAGTGTCCTTGAATATCTGCCATTTTGCCTGCTCAAAGTTATAGGGAGACTTTAAAGAAATGACAACGGCTGTTCTGGCTTTCACTTACACTATGGCACTCCTCTTAGCTTGATGATGGCTCAGCTCTTTCGCTCTCTTACCTTTAACTTACTTCCTAAATCAGCATCCCCTACCTTAGTTTTTCCATCTTTTTCAGGCGTATCTCTTTCTTACTTCTCCTCCTCACCCCAGGATCCCAGGCAGATGAGCAGCTCTTGTATTACCATAGGGAAGGACTGATCTTCTTACTCTCTTCAGTCTCTATTTTCTGTATAGAGTAGACACTTATGCAACTCCTGGAAAAGAGTATGGGTGATCAAAATCTTAAAGAAGCTTAGGTTTTCTATATAACCTATACGTACCTTAGGTTTTCTATATAAGACAGTTTAGTTTTGAATGCTGTCCAGGATACAGAATTAAGTTGGAAGAGATTCCTTAGACAACAGCACAGATTCTATGGGACCTTTGAAGTCTCACTATTTCGATGAAAAGCATTTTGAGAATTCAGTAATCTTACATTACTACACATTTGCAAACAGATGTTGCAATCTTTCATTCTAATGACATTTAATCCATTTTACCTCTAATGCTCAAGTGTGGAATTATCTAAATGTAAGTGCTTTTTATTTATAAACTGCTCAATGTCATAATAGACTCCATGCTCTCCTGCTTATTTACCACGCTTTTTCACCTCACTGACTTTTGATCCCTCAACATTTGCTCATCAAGCTGTCTTCTGGCTTATGACTCTGGAAAGAATCGAGAACTGCATGCAATCCTCTATGGATTCAAAACTACTTTCTCAACCAAATCTGCAGTAGCACTGTTCTGTGTGTATTCTTTCCAAAGTATTACCGTGGGTCCCTAAGTAAAACTCTATTCATGTTGGACACTCTGAGACTCCACGTTTGTATTTTATCTCTGTGATAATGTTTCTACTACCATTTAGTCCACATTAAAACCATCAGTCTTCATTTGAATGCAGCGTTGAAGCAATACAGAACATTTTGCTTCATGTTAAATCTTCTCCAGTCCATTTGCTGACTATGTCAGTAAGAAGTGATGCAGTCAGAAGAATTTATTCCTGTTAACTCTTATTTTTCTGTTGTTATCAAACTGTAAAGCACTTCTTCATTCATTTTATCATTTCTCCTTTTTTTTTATTAGGAAAAGGCTCCATTGTTATCTCCCCTCCATCGTAAGAGATATGAAGTGCAGTTCTTTCACTGTCTTAAGACCTTCAGGAATATTTTCACATTTTGGAAGAGTTACCCTCACCTGTTAGGAAAGGAACATTGAATAATGTCAGCACAACAACTATGGTGAGTGAAAAAGTTATGTGACGTTTTGAATTGATTTATGTCCTAATCTAGCAGCAATATTGACATGTTCTGTCTTGGAAGCTTTAGTAATTTTCAAATTTACTTTTAAATCTCTGATTAGTATTGATTTAATATCTTTTTTTCTGGAATGCTGCTTGGAGTATACAAAACTTAAAAAGCATATGCTTTAGAAACAGGATTGCAACGGAGCAAATAGGGCATGTTTTCCCTATTCAAGAAATCAAGTCGATGAAAATGAAATCAGTATTTGTTTTTGTTATTACAGAATCCGTGAGATGTATAGCTGATACAAATGCTGTAAAGTGTTAGCAGCTGAAGTTAATAGGCTTTATGGTTTGATGCCAAAGCTCTACACAGAAAACACCTGCAGTTCAGCAATGGAGAAACTACATTTTGGCATATGGGAGAGAATTAACTAACTATATTAGCAAAGAAAGTAGTACAAACAAAAACAATGTAAAAAATACATATTTCATTTTTGGGAATAACTATCAGCTTTTAACCTGCAAAAAGCCTATGTTGGTATCTCTACAATATCCTACAAAAAAGACTCTAATATCAGCTTTGAATGATTTCTTAACATTTATTGCACTTTTGGCAACCTAGCACCTCTCTGTAGTTCTTGTTTAGTCGCTGTTTCTGAAAGTTCACCTTTGGGGGAAGAAAAATTGCACAGCAACTTAGGAAATAACTGACAGAATTCTTTAATTTGGTTTAAACAGCATATCACAGACTGACATGCTGACTCTAAAAAGAGTTTTTTTGGTTTTTTTTTGTTTTTTTTTCCATACAATTGCATTTCTCTGCTTCTTTTATTTTGAATATTTCTGGTTATAAGCTGTGAAAAATGTGTCCACAATGTGCATCATCAAAATCACTGCATTTTCAACTGGTATTGGAGTTGGTGTACTGTCTAGTTTGTGTTGTGTTTTTTGAAGGTTTTGTTTTGTGTTTGTTTTTGCTGTTACCTGTGTTAATGGTTACCTTAAAAGACATGAGAAAAATGAAACAAAAAGTGAGGTATGCAGAAGATTTGCCATAGAGAGCAAATCAGAACTGGCAAAAACAACTTCAGTGGGCTTTTTGTTTGACTATTCAATTAGTTAGTATTCCAGACTTACAGTTTGCCAGAGATTTTTGCCTGAGAAAAGGAGATTTAAGCACTGTGAGGAGAAACAAGATGCGATTTTTTTTTGTGGGCATTTTCTTAGTGATGCTCCTTGACGCAACAAGTCAACAAAGTGCAAGCTGGAGCAAGCTGCTGTTTAGTAGTCTGTCCTAATCCATCAGCAGTGAAGAGATGGGAGTACTAACTACCACTCAACTGCAATCCTGAGACTGAAAATCAGTGGATATAAGAAGAGTAGTGATAGAATGGCACAATTAAAGGGTGACTTCACGTTCTCCTTGCATTTAGAATTGCAATTCTTCATACCAGTAGGCTTCAATGTGTAATAATAGTATTAGTACATTAGTAATAGTATTAGTACTGTAGTAATAATGTGCTATTATCAACTTATATGTGATTTGCATTCTGTACATGGCAAAGTCTCAAAATATTGGCTTGAACATCTCTTCAGCTAATCTTACTGCAATTTCTTCTGCAGTTTTTCCAAACACAGAATTCCAAATTCTGCATCTGTTCTGGTTAGAATCAGAGCTACTGTTTTCCATTCCAGTGATGTATACTAGGATTTTCTGCACTGATTTGCCTTGCAACTCCTTTTTATAACAGCACCTGAAGCTGTGGCTGGTTTTTGTTGTTGTTGTTGTTCAACCAGGTACTATAAAGTTGCCTTCAGTTTGTTGAAATGATACAAAAACTGGTAATCATCTCAAGCATCGACCTTGGTATTTAACAACATATTTTGACTTTTCAATGAAATTCTTCTACATAAGCTGCCCAGAGCTCTGGAGAAAATAAGTGTTTGAAAGCTACTTACGACTAAAATGAGAAGGATAGAACTTCAGAGAAAAAGTACTAGCAGTAAATTATTTTACCTACACAGTGCAGTTTACTTAAGCTACAGATGTTATTTGTTATTGAGTACAGTTGGTTTTGTTGTTGTTTTATAGTATAGCATGGATTTTACATTATCTCCTGTTGAACTGAGGTTTGTTTTTATAGCAATTAGGTTCCATTAAAAATTTTCTTTTGGAGATGGCTGTCTTACCTGAAATATCCCAAGGTGCCCAAGATGCACATTTACTGCTGTACACAAGCAGAGCTGATAAGAGTTTTGTTCTTTTTTTTTGTTTTTTAGCAGACATAACAACCTATTCTCTTGTCTTCAGAAAGTTTGGAGAAGTTTCCTTAAGTTTAGCAAACTGTTTCAGTACTTCAGGCTAATGCTATACAAGTTCCCACGAGGGACAGCAGTTTGTACCAAACTTTTAGCACATAAAAATAGTTGCAAAAAGTAATCAGTGGAATAAAAAAGCAAATGCTGTTCTTTTTGTGTATTCCTTTACTAGTTTCCAGTTGTGGTGACAACAGGTTGCCCAAGGAGGCTGTGGATGCCCCATCCCTGGAGGCACTCAGTGCCAGGCTGGATGTGGCTCTGGGCAGCCTGGTCTGCTGGTTGGCGACCCTGCACATAGCAGGGGTTGAAACCAGATGATCATTGTGGTCCTTTTCAACCCAGGCCATTCTATGATTCTATGATTCTATCCACTGATGCTATGAATTAGAGGTGAGAACTTTCTGTGCCTGGATAAGTATTAGTAAAGTAATGTCTGGCTTGTATTTGGAAACAATCAAACTAAAGAAGGCCTCTGCAGCCAATTTAAAAGTTCTGGTTGGTATTTCTCACATACTTCAGATTTTAATGCTTCTTCATTAAATTATCTCCTGATTCTGGGTCTGCGTAATTTTCAAATCTGGGGCTGAACCTGACATTGTTACTCTCAGAAAATTCATCTCACAAAATTAAGCCTTGTCAAAAATATTCTGTGCTATAAGCCCTGCAGTCCAAAAGGAAGATTACTAATTAAAAAAAAAAAAAAAGGAAGATTAGAGTCATTTAGGTCTGAGTGTGATAGATCCTTCGAAGTTCAGTTCTTTCCTATATTACAGACCTGCACAGCACACTTTGCCACCTGTGGATGTCTTGTTACATGTGCAGTGCCCAGCCTCTCTATAGTTTTAACTCTGGGAAAGGAGGATGTAAAAAGCAAACTATGATAGGCACTGAAATCTTACAACAAATGTAAATTCCTATGACCAATGGGGTGAGCAGAATTGCTTTTGGTTATTTAGGCCACCTTACACTTCTTGATGTCATCCTTGATTGCTATTGTCTCCAGGAGGACCACTCCTCATTGCAGACAGATTCAACTTCTCAATTAAACTGATTGTCCTTCACTCACAGTAGAATAGTATGTCTCAGTGTCATCTCCTAAAGACTCTTTTGGCCCCATCCTAGCAGTTTGGAGAACCGGTGCTGAGAGGTCAGAGAACTGTGCTCTAAAATGAGTACAGCTAACATTTCACTTGATACTTGAGGATGAGAAGGGCAGTGTTTAAATCTTTCATGTGGAGGTAGCAGTAGTTGCCTACAACCTATCTTTATGTGTCCGAAATCATACTGGGATGAACATTTCTATTGTCATCTTAGATGGTGTATTGGCAAAATGATTCATACTGACTCTGCGTGTGTGCTAAATGCAAAGGGAAGTAACTTATACCAAAAAAAATGGATGTCATGCCTTATTTACCTGTACCATTTCTGACTGAAAGTATGAACATTTCTGCAAGTCTCCAGTATTCCAGCACTGAGTTGTTTTATTCTAGTTCCTGCAAAAAGACATGGCAAATGTCTTCACACAAAATAATAGGTGGATTCTGAGTCAGAGTAATAGGCTGCAGGGCATGCTGAGAGTTGGAGTGCGTGAGTCAAAAGGTCTGTCAGGCAGAAGTCTATAAGCATGGCCTGCTTAGGGCGCTCACCCTCACTGGCTGAGTGCAGATGTGTAGTTTTAATAATTTAAAAAAAAAAAAAAGTGGAATAAGTATCAGTGAAGTGGAAGAGGAAGATGTAAGACCTGTGTGAAGGGTGGTTCTGGACCACTAGATATTAGGCGATTGTGGTGGCCACCCATCAGAATGAGAGAAGGAGCTTCCTTCTACCTTTCTCATGTTAGATAATCTCCTGAAATAGTGAAAACATCTTCTGTATTGTAATCAATTCATTCATTACTCTTGTGGTGTTTTTCTTCCTTTCTTCCTTTCTTCCTTTCTTCCTTTCTTCCTTTCTTCCTTTCTTCCTTTCTTCCTTTCTTTCTTCCTTTCTTCCTTTCTTCCTTTCTTCCTTTCTTCCTTTCTTTTCTTCTTCCGTTCTTCCTTCAAAGGCCTAAATAGTAGTAAAAGCCTAAAATAAAAGCCTAAATAGGAGTTATATTTTTAGTAGTCTGGGTAGTTTTCTTATTTTCATTAATAAATAAGACGAAAGGTCATTTATGGAATAAATGCCTCTGAGCTAAGAAAGAGCAACTTCTGTTATTCTGCTCGCACTTTGTCAAATTATCTGCTTCTGTAGCATGAATCTCTGAATCTATTTGAAAATTACTTCCAAAGAAGAAATTAGAGTAAAAATTTGAATTAGAAAGCCAAGTATCACTTCTTCACTAAAGGAGAGACGTTCTCTGTTTTCTTGACTTAATACAGTAATTCCTTTCTAAGTCATTGAAGGTCTAGATGTCAAATATTCCCAGAATCTGCAACTAGATACACTTTTTTTTTGTTTTTTTGTTGTTTTTTTTTTTTCAAAATTGTGTAATTTTTCGTCTGACTTGGAATTTCAGTATTGGGAAGATTAACAAGCCCAGTTGGATTTTGATGGATTTTGCAGGATTCAAATTGAGAAAAAAAGAGTTTGCGTTTGGAATTCAATATGTTTTTTATCTCAGTGTTCAGGTGAGAAATATGAAATCTGCAAGTCTAAGAAGTCACTCTTCAGAGAAGAAATAGTTTAAATATGG